ATTTTTGAACCTATTTCTGTTTGGATTTTTGAAACATCTTCTGTTTGTGCTTTTGGAATAATTAATATATATAGGTACGTACTATTTCTGTTTGTATTTTTGGAGCTGCAACTTTCTGTTTGTACTATTGGAATGTTTAATACTATTTCCGTTTGTGTTTTTGGAATTTTTGAACCTATTTCTGTTTGGATTTTTGAAACATCTTCTGTTTGTGCTTTTGGAATAATTAATACTATTTCCGTTTGTTTTTGGAATTTTTGAACCTATTTCTGTTTGGATTTTTGAAACATCTTCTGTTTGTGCTTTTGGAATAATTAATATATATAGGTACGTACTATTTCTGTTTGTATTTTTGGAGCTATAACTTTTTGTTTGTACTATTGGAATGTTTAATACTATTTCCGTTTGTGTTTTTGGAATTTTTGAACCTATTTCTGTTTGGATTTTTGAAAGTACTTCTGCTTGTGCTTTGGTAATAATTAATAGGTATTGTTTCTGTTTGTATTTTTGAAAGTACTTCTGTTTCTGCTTTTAGAATAATTAATAGGCTGAGAAAAAGATGCTATTGAATCAACAAAATTTCTGCTAAAGGCGCATAAAAATTATTGATTCTGAAGCATATATATGCTATAGAATTTTTAAAATCTTATATAGATTCAATAGCATATGCTTTTGAATCAAATAATTTTTATGCTTTTGGGAGAAATGCTGTTGATTCAATAGAGCATATTTTTCTCAGTCTACTATTTCCGTTTCTGTTTTTGAAATTTTTGAACCTATTTCCGTTTGTATTTTTGAAACTACTTCTGCTTGTATATTTTTGAAATTATATTTCTGTTTCTATTTGGGATTTTTAAAGCAATTTCTGTTTGCATTTTTGAACCTATATATTTCTGTTTCTTTTATAATTTTTGCTAACATTATACTTATATCTCCTAAACATAAAATCAGTATTGCTTAAAAAAAATTGAGAGACAGATCCAAAGAATATTACATATACTTAACGCACTACTTTTTCAAGTATGCTCGGCCTCAAGAGATTAAAGAAATCCCTTCGGTATTTTTTCAACAGAAGACAATAATTGAAGAGTGACGATTTGCGTATACATGTTGGGATGAGACACGGTGTGTTTGATTCGAGAAGGACCATTAAATGGAGGTGTACCAACATTGAAATCGAAAATAATCAAGCAGCCTCTTCAGTACTCATACAAACAAACTTAGTTTATAGAATTCTAGACACTTGTATTCTCCGCACATGTTCGAATATATACAAGGTAGAGAAAAAGAGAGAGGGAGTACAGAGAAAGCCATACCCCATAAGCATCGCATATGTCAAGTCTCCCTTTGGGGTGTCCTCAATCCATAACACCAATACGATAGTATCCTGTTACTATATGTATCCTACATATATATTGACATCCTACCTCTCTATTGAGAGATTTCTAAGTGTCTATAAGAAACATTATCCAATTTTTGCTTAAATTTTTGCCATTTTGGAATCTTAAAATTTATTTCATTTTACTTAACAATAATATAGGAAATTATTCCTAAATAGATAGGGAATAAATAAAATTCTTCTTCTATTATTGTTTTTAGAAGCCATATGGCAAAAAGGGAAAATATTTTATTGACAGTATTTGTCGTATTTAGTGTAACATTTTGAGTATATGATATAGAGAAAGCAAATTCGTGGTCACAGTGGTAATACAAACATGAAGATCAGACTGAGAATATTATCATAGTCTCGTAATAGGCTTAGCGCGGTATGGACACAAGGGCTCAGAGTGAAACAGCAGCAGTAGCTTGCATCAAACGGTAACGACATTGAGATACGCCCTTCCTACTATATACGATAATTGGATTTGATTGACGCAGTGATGTTCACTTGACATTATTGGGACATTTAGAAAGGTCCTCAATATATATATACATAGTATTGATTGGATTAATGCGGCATATTTAAGGAACATTTTGAATGGTTCACTACATTCCGTTTAATTGAAGCTGATCGTTTTGTACAGAAATACTGTTTTTCATAAACGATTTTGAAAAAACAAATCTCTTTTAAAAATTTAGAAATTATTTTTAATCTTGAAAAGAATAATTTTTAAAAATAAAGTTGCTTGATGCAAAATACGAAGATCTTGAACGCAGTCGGGGGAGAAAAGAAGGAGGGTCAAATTACCCGGCACAGAACGCATTATCTCTACTTGATAGACCTCCGTATACCCTCTCAACGCAGTGTTTCCCAATATCTTTCTTTGCAGAAAAAAAAAAAAATCCTCTCAACTTATTTAGAGAAAACTTAAAGTAAATTCATAGAAAATGAGAGTCACTTCACAAAAATATATATAGCAATGGTAAATTCAACATTGGCCATAAATTTATTCAAACAAATTCTATAATTACTTTTTCGGGTCGGACGATTCTTGAACCAAGAGATTTATTACATGGAATTCGCATTTTTATTGCAAATTACATTCTTTCAAGAATGCAAACCATCATTATGGAAACTAATTTTGTTGCTCTGCTCGCGAAATGTCATCATTGTAAACTGGTACTAAATTTCTTTTTTCTTATATATAGGAAGAAAGGGATCGTAAAAAAATTCACCTAAGGAAACTTTATAAGGTCTTTTAAATGCATCACTTTTTATAATTGAAAATGACTAATTTTACAATTCGATGTATATATATTTTAGGAAAAAGGAAATTTTTCTTCACATTTTTTATGCTATAGGTATTTTTATGCATGATAAAAAAATAGTTCGACAACCGAGCTATAAAAGACCATAAATGTATAAAAGTAGTATATGCGTGTTTATGGGGCATCTTATAAGATACAACCAAGCAGTATGTAATGAGGGCGAGTGCCACCCCGTGTTGAGGGTTTGTTTAGTCCCAGGACGACAAAAGATATATCCTCGTATATATACCAAAAAGTCCTATCCATCATTTAATTTACGCGTGCTATTATACCTAAACAGATAAATATAATATAAAAGTACTGATGCTCTTTATGAAAATTATATGATCTCATATATTATTCGAAAGAATTTTCCCTTTCAATAATATTTAATATTTGATTTTAATTGTTTTAAAATGCTCGTTTGAGGCAAAAAAAGCGGGATATTTTTTTATATCTCAAATACGGAAGAATAAAATTAAATAAATTTCTTAGAATTTGTGAGAGGAAAAAAAATTCTTGATAATTCGCATCGGACTGATGACTGCGCGTCTATAAGTCGATGATGTCCTGTGGGAGAGAAGATAGATTTCTTGGTAGGTACTTAGCGCTTTGTAAAAAACTGGGACAGGTTAAGTATAGTTGCGCATCGCGTTTGAAATTATAAAATAAAACGACGTACGTGTGTTTCTAATACGTGACAAAACTTTATTTATAATTTCGTGCCATTGATATTGTCGAGGTATAATTTTCCAGTTTGGAAAATAATACATCATCGAATTTGATATACAATCCGAAATTTTTGAACAGATAAACCTAATTTTGAACTAAAGTATAAATAAATCTGTAAAGTATTTCACAAACCTGATTTTGAAGTATAAAATATAATCTGTACAGTATTTGTCGAACCTGCGTTTCTGGTCAAAAATATAAACATTTAGCGAACCTAAATCTAATCTAAAATAATCTGTAAAGTATTTGTCAAACCTGATTTTGAACCAAACTGATTTGGCAAACCTGATTACTATGATCTACAATAATAATCTGTAAAGCATTTGGTAAACGCCTGATTCTGACTAAAATAATCTGTAAAGTATTTAGTAAAGCTAATGATCTAAATAATCGATGAACTATTTGGTTAACCTGATTTTGATCTAATATAATCGAAATCTGGTTTATTTGTTATATGCATTTTATGTTTCTTTAATGCAAGTCTGATTCTGATCTGCAATAATATAATCGGTATTTAAACGTATGATAAACCTGATTCTGATGTTAAATAATCTCTGTAATTAAGGATTTGGTAAACCTGATTTTGAACTATAAATAATGAACTATTTAGTAAATATGATATACTGATCAAAAATAATTTGTTAAGCATTTTGGTAAACCTGATTTTGATCTACAATAATGAAGGTTTATTTATTGTAGGCATTACACATTGTTTCCTTTTCAATTAAAATTTTGAAGACAGAAAGAAATTTTAGAAATAGAATCGCATTAAAAATGACCCATTTTGGGATACAGATTTTTTAATGTATGCTTAATCTGTTTGTTGGTTTAGTAGTGCAAAATCATTTATAATATTCATCAACTAATTTATGCAGTATTCTTTAACTATAATTCTATACAGTATTCTTCATAACTAATACTGCAGTTTTCTGTAACTAATTCTGCAGTGTTCTTCAACTAATTTTTCTCTTAAGCAAATTTTGCAGCATATTAACTAATTTTGAAGCATTCTTTAGCTAATTTCGCAGTATTTTTCAACTATACTTTTTTTACAGTATTCAGCTATTTTTCCATTGTTCTTAAACCCATTTCCCATATTGCTTTTGTCATTCCTCCATACCTAATTTTCCATAATTCTTCCATCTTTCCACTCGCTCAAACTGAATCTCATCAACCATGATTATACCTGCAAATCATTAATATTTATCAAAAATTCAATAATCTTTTGTATCCCATTCAAATATTCAATCCTATCAGCATTATTAACAAAAAAAAAAATGTAATTTTCCTAAAAAATTCGTAATTTTCCGTAATTCCAAAGATGAGATGAACGAAATTCATAGGTGATGGCAAGACGGCAGAAGCCGGAATGAGTATCTCAGTGAATGTCCAACAGTGGCGCCACATACTTTTTAGTCCTTGATGGGGGCGTGTTAAATGGGCGTTGAATGAATGATGATTGGTTAGAATGTGAAGAACGGATTGGTGATATTGTGAATGGGTGCAACTAAAATACATTCGCGCCGAAGCATTGAATCAGTAGCCACGCCTTTGGGTTGATCCACAACCCCGTGGGACTCGAGCCACGCTGGCTCTGCCGGCCGTGACACATTCGACAAGCGGCGCCGTAACGGGAAGCAACGTGCGACTAGGGACTTTCAAGAATTCTCCTCTGGTGTCTGCCTGTCTCTCTCTCTCTCTCTCCTCTCTCTCTCTTTCTCTCTTACTCTGACCGCCTTGTGACCTCTCACACCCTCTTTTACTCTCCGGGCAAAAAAAAAAAACCCTCTTCACACACCATGATTCAACAAACTCCAGCATCACTATTCCACATCGGATTATAACAATTCTGGTTTCAACCCTAACGACACACTTGTGCTCCAAAATCCTCTCTTCCTTACCAGAGGATTGGTGTGATTATGGAATCCTCAAATCGACAATAAGTGAAGCTTATTTTTTTTTTCGTGCAACCAATTCAGTGCGGTATTCAGTGAAGTTTTTTGACTAATTAGTGAAGTTGTGAATTTTTTTCGAACGATGATTTTGGACTGATGATCAGTGATTTTGAACTAATATTGACTTGAAGAAGAAGAAGAAGAAGAAGAGGGGAAAAAAATAGGAAGAAATAAAAAAGAAGAGTGAGAGGAAAATAAAAAAAAGAAGAATCTTACGGCCTCACGACGCGTTCCGACGAGTGGAGCGGTCTCCTGCCCAGCTCCACTATCGTGGGTGCTGGGGGGTCACCATGGTTGGGCCTTGGTGCCGGAGGTGGAGCTGGTGCCACCACCGGTTCAGGAAGTCCTGTGGAACTCGAAGGACATTGGGGCAGAAAATTATATGGGGCAAGTGTGGCACCACCACCGCCACCACCACATCATCATCCACGTGCCCCACTTGTTTTTGCCCCACAGGACATGCGGCAAATTTTAAAAGAGGAACCCGTACCACGTGCCTGGCCACAACCTGCCCTCGCCGATAATGGACCGTGAGTTTTTGTTTCATTTTTTTTTCTTTTATTTACTGTTAATATATAATTAATATTTTTTGGCACCCAAAATTTTTCCTAATCTTTTGGCAAAATTTATCAATTTAAACAATTTTTTTGAAAATAATTTATTTGAAAGAAAATTTTGTTTAAATCAACCAAAAGTTTATTTGGTTAAATCCAAAATTTTCTCTATGAAAATTTGTTTGAAACAACCAAATTTGGTTCAATCCAAAATTTTCTCTATTAAAATTTATTTGAAACAAGTAAATTTGGTTAAATCCAAAATTTTCTCTATTTAAATTTGGTTAAATCCAAAATTTTCTCTATTTAAATTTGGTTAAATCCAAAATTTTCTCTATTTAAATTTGGTTAAATACAAAATTTTCTCTATTAAAATTTGGTTAAATCCAAAATTTTCTCTATTAAAATTTGGTTAAATCCAAAATTTTGTTTGAATCAACTATAAATTTTTATTTGAATCAACCAAATAAATGTATATTTAGTTTGCAAAATTTTTGTTGAATCAACCAAAAGTTTATTGTGCCCAATTAAATTCTTACTTCAATCGAAAAATTAAAAATAAACCAAATGATTTATTAATTATCAAAAAAATTTTTGAATTAAACAAATGGTTTATTTGGTTCAAACAAAACTTTTCCGGAATTTTTTTTTCTTTATTAATTTTTATTGATTATAAAAAATATATTTTCAATAACAATTAGTATTTCTAATTTATAAGTAACAATCAGTTAAATTTAAAATAAAAATAGTAAACAATAAAATATAATTAGCGAAAAAAAATAAATAGAATAATATTTGTTTAAAAATAATTTAAAAAATCATTAACGTGGAGATAAAGATACAGGTGCAGGGATGAAAAATAAGTTGTTAATTTCTTTGAAAATATAAAAATTATATAATTTTTGATGAATTGAATAAGTGAAATTTGGATTTATCCGACGGACAAGGCTTTTCTACGTTCCGTCGGATCGCCGCACGTTGACTTGTACTACTAGCAGAATTAGCAATTTTTAATAATTCCTCAATTTTCAATTCTTTGCAATGAAATTTTGTATTAAACCAAAAAAAAAAATTTAAAGTAATATTCTAAGTGTAAATAATTGTAACTAATTGCAATAATGTAATTACAAAAATTAAATTTGCAATCTAAAAATAATTAATTAATAAAAAATAATTAAAATAAAAAAGTATAAATTTTGTAATAAAATTGTTATTGAAAATATATAATTAAAAATCACTGAAAAATTGTTATTTTTCTCACAAATGAAGCTTTGAATATTAAAATTCTCAAAATTTTATTCAACAAAAAATTTTTATATTTAAAAAAAATTGATATTTGTTTAAAAACAAATTAGGAAAGGATTAAATTTATATTTTATTTACTTTTTATACGACATTTTGGTTTTTATTTCTCTCACCAAAATAGTGTATCAATTACAAAAACTCGTCAATTTTCTAAGCGATTAAACAGTATACATATATATATATATATATACATACAAGTTAGTTGCTTTTGTTTTGGAACTGTTCCCGAACTTTCGTTTTCGTTATATAGTAGTATAAGGAACGGCAAAAGCCCAACTAACTTTATATATATATATATATATATATATCTTTGTGCGAAATGGTGTTTGGAAGCCTTTGCAAAGTGTTTTAAAACTTCCTGCAAAGCGTTGACAAACTTTCTTACTCTTAAAATACTATTAAAAATTGTACCTGTAACGCACAAGTTTACTGCTTGAACAAAAAAAAAGTTCTATAGAACAAACGGAAAAATCAAGTTTTAAAAGTATTTGTATTTCATGACAAATTTTAAACTATTTTTTAAATTGTAAAAAAAGAGATAAAATCAAATGGAAAGTATATAATAGAAAAGTAAAAAGAAAATTATAATTATAGATAAAGAAAACGAAATGAAAAAAAGGTAAATAAAAAAAATTTACTTTTGAAACAAATAATTTTTATTTGAATTAAATAAACTTTATTGAAATCAATAATTTCTGTATTTGAAACAAATACAATTCAAATTGCAAATATAATTTACCAAAAGAAAAATGATATATATATTTCTCAGAGGCAAATAAATATTTATTTGTTGCAAAATAATTATTTATTCGTTGCAAAATAATTATTTATTTAATTTAAATAAATTTCTGACAAAATTTTTATTTACACCAAATGTATATGAAGAAGAAATAGAAATAATAAACAATTTTTGCCCATATTTGAAACGAAGAGAATATATATCTCTATAAATTAATGCTATAATGAAGTTACATGTGTCCATTATTAGCAACGCTCTCGCGTGTATTTTAATATTTTAATGATTTTTGAAAATTTAAAAGCATTCGGATATTGAAGAAGTTAATGAAAGAGCTCAGCTCATCGCATTTATGTATATATATATATATATATATATACTCGCGAAAGGTCGCGGATTATATTCGGATATACCCATTACAAATTGCTCATTATCTCTCGCAGTGCATTATGAATCATGTTGGGATGCTGCGTAAATAGACTCTCTCTCTCTCACTCTCTCTCGGGCTAACTCATATAATAACTAACGCTTGGCGCATCGTGCATTAACTCTGGATTTATTGTGATTCTCTGCACCCGATTGCTTTGTCCACGAATTCGCGTATCCCTTGATTCAAATACCTGGTGTGTGTGTGTGTGTGTGCAAATAGTGCAAACGTCTGCAAAATATTATTTCCCTTACAATTTCACATAACACAAAAAAATCCTTTCTTAAAATCCTTTTTCTTATTCAACAAAAATGGCACTGAAAAAAATTTGATTTTTACAACAAACTGATGTTAAAAAAATAACTTTACCTGGAACAGCGATAATAAGTTTCACTGGAATAGGGATATGTTTTGCTAAAACTGAGGAAAGTTTTATCGCTGTTCATAAAGATTTTTTTGTTTGGTAAATCAAAATATTTCTGTTGCTTCAATAAAATTATTATTTCAATCCAGATTTTAGTTAAGACAACAAAAATCCCTTTCTTTCTAATTGATATATTTTAATTTAAAAATTGAATTAATTAAGACAAAAAAATTTCTTGAGGCAGAAAAAAAAAATTTTTATCAAAACGAAACCATTGAGATTTATTATTGAAACAAGTGAATACCACCGCTGTCACCATTTAACAAATCAATTTCTATATATATACAAAGGAAAAACATTCATGGAAATTTATTGTAATGAAAATAATAGTTTTTCCGCTTTTAGGACAAAAGAATAATTTAATAAACTTTTTTTTGTAACAAATGAAGATTTCGTGTAAAAAAATTTTGTTTTAGATTTTTTCATTACTATTATTATTATCATCATCATCATCCGGGGTAAATGGATAAACGTGTGGCTACATTTGGAAGCAATCGTTATCAGGTCTGAAAATTGTACTCGTGGCAAATTACGCGATAAACGCGAATCGAGCTTGTAATTATCACCTCGGTTGTCGGTGTTGGGTTGGAAACTGCAAACAACGCGTCGCCTATATACTTGAGTGTATGTGTGCACACAAATGAGCCGATCTGTCGCATCCGAGTGTTGCAAATTCGTTGATATATATACATATATATATATATATACGCTCGAGTTTAGTACGTGCATCAGAATCATAATACTGTTTGTGCCACACGTGTGTAACCTAACAAAAAAGATTTTTTTCTTTTTCAAATTTCCCGCCATTAACGAGAGTAGCGCCGTTAATTTTTTTTTTGTTTCATGGTTGGCATTCATGTTCCTAACCTGTAAATACTTTCATCTATTTTTTTTTATTAATGAAATATCGTAGTTTTATTTTGAAGTCAAAATCTGCTACTTTTTTCACAGAAAAAAACTGTACTCAAAATGAGTACGAAATCATACTCATTTTGATATGCAGCAAAAATGATTACGCTCTTATTCATTTTGAGTTTTCAGTGAAAAAATATCAAAATGAACAACGTCAGTTTCATTTTGAGTATATGTTTAACTATGAATTATAGATAAATAACAAATGATTATTTAATTTAAAATAGTACTAAAACAATTGTTTTTCATAAATAAACACTTTCAAACTAAAAAGACTTTAATTCTTAAAGTCAATTTATTATTATTTATAAAATAAAATAAATCAAGTTTTAGGTTAAGAAACATATGAAACGACAGGCAGTAATACCAACTGCGTTAACATGAAGTAGAGAAAGAAAGCGCTATTGTCTAAAAACCAAAGGTAATGGCGCCTTATTTAAAAAATTTAAAAGTAAAATATTGTTTACGAAACAAAATGATATTGTGTTAAATTTTTTTCACATTAATTAATAAATAAAAAAAAATTTATATTTAAAAATTTTAACAAATAAATTTTAATTCTTAAAATCACTGTTTTGTGATCAATAAACTAATAAAAAATTATAAATTAAATATATGTGATTGATGTAGTTTTTCTTAGGATCTATAATTTTTAGTAGAAGTTGTTCTTTTTTTTACACTAGAACGTCAATCGAGAACACGTCAGTCGAGAACAGAGCAAGGGAACACTTGAAGGGAAGTGGGGAAGCAGGTAGAATTTAGGTTATGACTGACGCCAAAGTCGTACTTGTGATTTTTAAATTTAAGGTGGATTCAGTGCCCCACTAGTGAAAATCCCCTAGATAGAATTCACATTGTTGCGTAAGGCCCTTCATACGGCCCTGAGTGTTTTTATTTTCGAGCGATAAAAATCGCGTCAATCGAGAACAGCACTGCACATTCGTCTGTTCTCGATTGACGTTTTAGTGTATTTGAAAAAAATCCATTGTCAATGGACGAAAAGCTTTGCTTTTTTTGTAATAAACGAAATAATTATTTAAAAATATTATAATATTATAAAATTGAGTTTTTATTATTTAAAAATTCTTATGTATAATATATTTAAAATAAAAATAAATTTATATTATTATATAATTAAATTAACTCATAATTATTAATATTATTAATATAAT